AGTGGAGGCGGCTGGGGCGCCGGCTCGTCCTGGGCACACCGCGGGGCCCTCCGTCCTTCTACACGGGCTCTGGGCTGTGCGACTCGGCAGGCCGGGGCGCCAGCAGATGGTGGGTCTTACCTGAGCTGCTCAGACCCTGAGCTGAGCCGGATGTGGCGAGCAGCGCTGACAGGCTGCGGGCTGGCACCCAGCCCTCCGTGCCGGTGCTCAGGTCCCGGACGTACCTGCAAGGGCCGGGTCGGGGTCAGGGCTTGGCCGCGGCGCGCCCAGGGGTGGGCACCCGTGGGGCATCTTACCAGAGGCCCTCGGCGCCCTCCTGGACCACCTCCACCACGTCCCCGCTCCTCACAACCAGGGCGTCAGGGCCACCCTTCTCGTCGTCCAGCACGACTGTGTATCTGCCCGGCACCTAGCGGGGACACGCCAAGGGACAGAGGCGCCGCCATGTCCCTGTGCACTGCCACCCCAGGCTCCCGCCGCCCCCAAGCATGCCCGCAGCCCCAGGCCTCTGCACTTGCTGTCCCCGTGCCCCGACGCTCTTCCCTTCCTGCGTCTGACTCTGATGCCGTGTTCTCCGCAGGGCCACCCTGATGGCCGGCCCCACACCCAGCTCGCTCTGCCTCTTCTCTGGGTGATCCTCGCCTCTCGGGCTGTGGTCTCACTACTTTTCTTGCCTCCCTGGGAGGGAAGAGTCTGGTCTATCTTGCTCCCTGCGTCATCCCCAGGGCCTACAGCGCGCGGGCACAGGACGGATGCTCAATGAGTGTCTGTGGACTGAGCTCTGTTGCAGAGAGTGGACTGGGAAGCAGAAGCTGCTGTCCTTACAGACTGTGGGGGGAGGGGGCCCCCTGCCTCCCATGGCAGCTGTAAGGACATGCGGCCGAGTGTGGCACTGAGGGATGCCATCGCCAGTCACAGGGCTGGGGGCAGGAGAAGGTGGGAGACCTTTGTCCACAGTGGAGTTGGCTGACTGTGTGATGCATGTGCCATACCGGCTCCTGGATGGGCCCTGCTCCTACCCTGCCAGCCCCAGGGCAGCCAGCATCACTCTCTGTCCCCAAGAATGAGATCCAGAGCCTCTGCATCCCCATGCCGCCCTTCTCAGCCGCGGCCCTGCGTGGGGGTTGCCTCCTCTGGACTGCGAGCCCTCCCTCCAGCCCCACACCTGTCTGCCCTTCCAGAACCTCTGGACTGTTTCTGTTCACTGCTACAGCCCTGGGGCTTGAATCAGGCCCAGCACAGAGCGTGCAATAAACATCCGTTGGTGTAATCCTGCCTCTAACGATTTAATATGCAAACAGTGTTTCCTTGCTCCTAATATTAAAAATAGGATATTGATGGGGCCGGCCCGGTGGCGCACTGCTACAGTGCGCCGCTTGGGAGTGCGGTGGCGCTCCCGCCAAGGGTTCGGATCCCACATACAGACCGGTCCCTGCTCACTGGCTGAGCGAGGGGCGGGCGCGGCACTGAGGGTTGCGATCCCGTTGCCGGTCCCGGTCCGGTACGGGCGCAACACTGAGGGTTGCAGTCCGTTGCCGGACACGAAAAAAGGCAAAAAGGAAAAAAAAAAATAGGATATTGATGAGTGCAAATCCATACTTAAAAAAATTCAAGTTTTTAAAAAAATGAGATTGAGGTGTGTGCACAGCTTCAAGACAGCTTGNACACTGAGGGTTGCAGTCCGTTGCCGGACACGAAAAAAGACAAAAAGGAAAAAAAAAATAGGATATTGATGAGTGCAAATCCATACTTTAAAAAATTCAAGTTTTTAAAAAAATGAGATTGAGGTGTGTGCACAGCTTCAAGACAGCTTGGTAGGAGCATCCTGTTGATGTAACAGGTAATTAAGGGGTGTGGACTGTCCCCTAAGGGAGGAGCACATGCGGGCCTGGCAGAGGGGCCACAGGGAGCAGGGGTGCCTGGAAAGTGCTCCCAGAGAAAGGAGGAGCTGCGGCTGCACCCTAGGACCCGGGCCAGGTGGATCTTCTAGAACGCCCTCCTCCCTAGGGAACGGCAGCTCCCTCTTGAGCCGCCTGCCGGGGGCCACGGTTACCAGCTTCTTGGGGCCCCCTCCACCGTCCTCCTCGGCATCAGATGAGTTAATCGGCTCCTCAGCACTCGACCAGCCGCCGTCGTCCTCAGGGGCCTCTGGTGAGTGAGATGTTTTGCTCCAACCTAGGAGAGGAACCGGCTCCAGTGAGGATCACCCTAATGACAGGACCGCCGTCTGAGGTGGGATCTACGTAAGTCCCCCCAAACCCCCTGAAATGTGCAGCCGAGGGACCCCCAGCAGAGCCTGTCCTCCTCCTCTGCAGGACCCCTCAAGTCTTTACCAAGGACCGGCGCATTCTGCCTCAGCTGCCCACACAGCCGCGGGGCCACGGCCAGAGAGCACCCGTCCCCCTGCAAGGCCCGGCCTCCCTGCTTCCGACCGCGGCACCCGCTGGAGCCCTACAGCAGACACCCCTGGAGAGAGGTCGTTCCCACCAGTGCCGTGACATTCAGCACCCGTCACCGGGCCTGGAGGACGGTTTCCAGCAGAAATGGCAGAGGCGCACTGAGAGCTGCGAAGCCCACCAGAGCAACAGGGCTGTGGTCCTCGCTGGGCAGTGGAGCCGGGGACACTGAGTCACGAGTCTAGGGCTCCAGCGCCCCTCTGCTGGGCCAGCACATGAGGATGGACAGGCTTTTTTTGGATTTAATGCTATACAAGGGAACTTCATGATGTTTGTGGAAAAACAGAATTAAAAGATAATGTGGACCTTTCCACGAACTTTCTGAAGATCCCTTGTATGTATCCCTCACTGGTGTTACTCCCGCCACCACCCCCAAAGGGCAGCAACTGTATTTCCACCTTTGGGGAGGCTTATCCTCCTGAATAAACACAATAGATGCCAGAACCAAAGCGACAAGCCTCAGCTGCACTCCCGTGGTCCTGGAGCTCAGCTACTGCACCGAGGCACAGAGTCGACCGACGTTTCAACACAAGAGGCCTATCAGGGAATTGGGCGGACTACTAGTTGGATTGGAGCTTGGACACACCCAGTCCCAAGTTCCACATGGTGGGGCTGGAAGCAAGCGTTTCCCTGCACCAGAGCGTGCTGGGTGCGTGAAGGGAACACAGACGAGCCGCGCATACAAACACACGTGGAGCCCGGACTGTGCTGTGGCAAGCCATCTCAGCAAGCCAGGTCTAACAGCTGACAGTGGGTTGGCTGGCAGCAGAAAGCCACTGCCACAAGGCATGAGCAGCCACCTCTGTTCCCATAGAAAGGGGAACCTGGGCCCCGTTCCCTGTCAGCCAGCAGCCCTTGTGCAGGGTCGGCCCCACCCCACCCAGACATTTCCTTGCCGGGGCTGGGCTGTGGGGGCTGGAGAAGCAGCTGACCCTGCCGGTGTCACACCAGGCTCGTGTCTATGTGAGAAGGGGGGCTGTGAGTTTCCAGCTGCGGACCACCCGCCCCTCCCTTCTCTGAGCATGTCGCAGCTGCAGTCCAGCATGGGAGCTAAGACAGAGTGTGGGGTGGGGGTGGGGGTGGGGGGTCCCAGGCGACCTTTCAGAGCCCGCAGGGACTGCCAGTGTCCTCTGCCTCTCCAGCTTCCCAGTCGCTCTGAAGCACTGACATCAGGCCTCTGGCCAAACAGAACCAAAAGTCTGCTTGAGGACAGTGAGAAGAGAGGGATGGAAGTGCTCCGTGTGGCGACTCTGTGGGCCGAGAAGGCCGCCCCGTCCGGCAGCAGACCTTACACAAAACCCTGGCTTCAGAGCAGGGGCTGTTTTCGCGCTGGGGGAGCCTTCGGCAACCCCGCCCCCTGGCATGCCAGGGAGAGAAGGCTTTGTAGGCTTGCAGCAGCTCGGGGCCTCTGGTGCTCAGCTCTGTGCTGGACGGAGCCTCTGGGGGACACTAACAGGCTCCAGGCGTCCCCGTGTGAGAGTCGCGGGCAAGGGAGGCAAGAAGCCCAAGGCCGAAATCCACCCGCACGAAGGCGCCCACATAGGACAGGCAACAAGAACGTTTGGAAGCCTGACGACCACAGTCCAGGCTGGCATCACTCTCTGGGATGTTGGGGGATTTTACGAGAAGATATTAGGCCAGAGCGACGTGCGAACATGGTCCCCTCTATTTTCTGTAAAACAGTCCTGCATGTTATCGATGGAGTGAAAAAGTGGGCCGAGGGAGCCTCTCGGGCAGAAGCCCACGAGCATCTGCAACGGGCCAGCGAGCGAGGCCTGTGGCTCGTCCCCTGCAGCAGCCTGGCTCCAGCACACCCTCCGTGAGTCTCTGCGACGCTGCGGGTTGCATGCCCTGCCTTTGCTCGCAGAGGGAACGCCATGGAGGCAAAGCTGCTCGGCTGAGACGCAGGAGCAGGGCGGCAGGGACGGCGTGAGCAGAAAGCGTCTAATGGACAAAAGACCGTCAAGGGGGCAGTGACTCTTTTCTCCTGGGCACCTGGGGTCTGGGCAGCAGCAGCCAGGCCCCTGCCTGCGCGTGAGAACGTCAGCAGCTCCCTGCCCTGAACTCATGTCCAGTGGCAGTGGGAGGGCTGCGTACTCTGCACCCCTGGGGCTCGGAGAGTGGAGGCCAGAACGAGCTGTGGGAGCTGCGGGTAGTGTAGGTGGGCTCAGGGAGACGGGTTCAGCTCATACCCCTTGGAAACCTTTGCAATTGTTCGGAAAACTCGGGAAGATTCAAAACATGAAGTCCTTTCCCTGAACGTGAGATCCTCAGCCCTGGCCAGGGGAGGTCTCTGGGGTTTTATCCTCGGAACACGAGGGAGGCAGGAAACAGGAAGGCCCAAGTTCTGAGACGGAGCTCGACCCCGCCCGTCTGTACGACTGGACGTCTCCCCTCTGAAGGGGCAGCTGGACAGATGACGCCAGCTGCTACGGTCCCTGTTTCCACCCAGAAGTGTTGCGCAAACTGGTGAAGTGGGAGGAGGGCTGGCACTTTAGGGGTCTGTGGGCAGGGTGCCTGCACCCACAACAGCCACTGAGCAATAAAACCCGACCCAACCGACCTGCGGGCACAAGGAGGGCAGTTGTGCAGGCTCGGGACAGATCTGGCCCAAGGAGTCAGCCGAGAAGCGTGGTGACCTCACGGGCTCTGTCACCAGAGCAGCAAGGTGCTGGGCAAAGCCGGGGACCTGCTTCTGGCTCGGAAGGACCGAGGCGGTTTTGCGTCTTAGGTGGCGTGTGACCACCAGACAGACAGAGCTCCTAGCAGGTGTCATCTGGGTTCAGAAGCTGAGTCACTCTACCTCGTACACCGAAAGGAGTGGGGTCGCTCTTTACTTCCAGGCGCTTAGCTTTTTTGTCGGGACTGGTGGGAGAAGCTGTAAGAGGAGGGAGAGGGAAAGATACAACAGGAGGGGGCGCGTGAGGAGCCGCAGGCAGAGGGCGGAGCACAGACACCGACGGGCTTTCCACAGATGCCAGGGCCACTGTCGTGAGCAGAGTGGACGTGGCCGCGGCTCTCACGGGCGCAAGGAGAGGCCCGGGGGAGTCGGGGAGCTGGGGCTGAGGGGCGCTCGGCTCTGGCGAGCAGAGGCATCATGTCAGGGGCCGTCTGCAGGCCGTTTCTCAGCTCTGCATTAGCAGAGTGTGTAGTGCCAGCATGTGCAGTTTCTTTCTTTCTTTCTTTCAAGTCTGAGGACAACTTAAAAATATTTTGTAAATTGGAAAACACCCCCCATTTTCTGGACCACTCTCTGGCCAGTGAGAAGCAGCCTCAGCAACCCAGGCTTTGAGCAGTGGGCAGGGCCGCCACAGGCCTGCTGGCACTCCAGGGCTGACACTCGGAGGGGATCTGCTATTAGAAATCCCAGTCGGAGGCGGTGCCTCGTCAGCCCGTTCACTAGCCATTGCCCCAGAAGCCATCTGGCATCGCACCCAGCACTCCGGCATAGAGTGACTGCAGCTAGACAGGCGAACGCCCTGCAGGAACTAACAGGGAAAAGCAGGAACAGGTGGAGGGAGGGCGGCGGGGGAGGCGGGTGCTGGGATGGGACAAGAATAGCAAAGGACAGCTGTGTCTCTGATCAAGCCTCCGCTGGAAAAGCTTGCCTTCACTTTTTCAAAGAAGAGGCACTCCTGAAAGCTAACCCTGGGTGTCTGCAGCAGACGCGTGAGCGCCAGTGGGTGAGCAACGTGGTGGGAGATGGTGTGGCATGGCCTGTGCTTGTGATGGAGGTGGCGTGAGCCCCCGAGACCATGCACACGAATGGTCACACACAATGCACGACAGACATGGCACCACGGCGAGGGACACTGGTGGGGGTGGAGCTCAGGCCACTGCCTCTCTTTACCTTTCTGACCCTTGAGGTTAGCAAAGCCCTGCAGGGTAAAGCGCTTTCTGGAAAGCGCAGAGCTTTCTGAGGTAGAGCTAGTGACGGCGTCATCTACGAAGGAAGAGAGAGACAAACGCAGAGGGTGTTGGCGGCCCCAGCTGTCTGGCTCCGTGGGAGGTCACACGGGCCAGAGCTGGGGGCACGCAGCATCCTGGTGGTGGGTAGGGAGAAGGGACCTGGACTCTGTGGCCTTCTTTGTGCCGCGGGAAGCTGCTGTCATTAACGAACACGTGTGAGCAGCTGTCAGAGCAGCTGAGGCCCGGTCACTGCAGACACCCACCTTTGCCCTTTTCGGGGGGCTTTGGCAAGGATGCAGAGCTGATGTATCCCTCCAGGCTCAGGGGGTCCATTTTCCTTTCTTCCAGCTTCTTGACGCTCCTTGTGTTCCCCCTTGAGGGACTGTTGACATCAGGCACACAAAAAAAGACAGCACGCTGGCAGGTTAGTTTTTCAAGACTCTCGGAGGACCGTGGCGCAGGCATCCCCGAGCCCCCAGCCGGTCCTCAGGCAGCGCAGTGTGTCGCTTCAGAGGCTGAGCCCTCAGGGCAAAGCCAAACAGAACCGAAGGAGAAGGGAAAACCACCTTCCCAGCTGCTAAGTACAGGGTTTGTTTTTTTTTTTGGGGGGGGGGATGCTTCTCTTTTAAAACTACTGTTCTGTAGATTAATTATTTAGGTCTTATCCTGTTCCCTGAATGATTAAAGGTGGCTTATATAAGAAACAGAAAAAAAAAACCCCTGAATAATAAAATACAGGAAAAATAAGGGCAGAAGAGACACAGTGAAGCTACTGTCAAGGCCAGTGTCTGGCACGTGCACACGCGTGCTGGTTTGAGTCTCCAAAACCCGGGGTCCCTGCCGAGGTGCCCGGACACTGAAATGCTCAGCCCTCATCTAGGAGAGCCCATGACATGTGCTGATCGCAAAGAGAAACTCCCCACAGATGGGAAAACACGAGAGACTGAGCTGGCCGCTGCCTGGGAGTGGGGTTGAGATGTACGTCCTTGAAGTCCACCCACCAGCCTGCGATTCCCAGACGACAGGCACCTCAGGGGCCTTGGGGCAAACTCCACAATCCCAACCACAAGGAGATTCCGGCGCAGAGGCCGAGGGAACTCTGTGGCACAGCAGTCTCACCTGGTGCTGGGTGACGTGGGCAGGGGCAGGCTCTGGGACTGCTCCAGCGCCCTGTGCTGGCTGGCTTCTGTGGGGAGGGAAGGGGACACACACCGTGCTCGGCCTGCAGCTTGTATCCAGCATCTTTACTTCTAGATGCTAAGGCATCTTACACAGTGGAGGATTTTGTGGTTGCTTTGAACATGCATAAAAACATGCTGGAGCAAAGGCTAAGAGAAAATCATCGTTGGCCCACCTCTGCAAGCCTGCAGCTGGCTGGTCAGCACTTTCCGAATTTCATTCACCCACGCGGCTTTAATTTCAGGAGTTGGCGCCTGTTCTCCCCAAAGAGATGCCGAGAGGTAAGGGCTCAGTTCTCTAACGAAGCACGCTTTGATATTTTACTCTTGGAACTTCCAAGGACAATCTTGGAACCAATAATAACATCAGTGCACGGGAGAGACAAGAAGAGAAAAGAAAAGAAGGCAGGCACGTCCCCTGGCTGCAGGACTCTGCGCCCCACGGCACGGAACTGACGGAGAAGGGCCAGGGCCCGGTGCCGGGTGCCCAGCCAGCCGGCCACCCACGAGGCCAGTTCCTCTGCACCATCGCTGACGCTTGGCTCCCTGGGGAATGCTCCATGGGCACAAACAAACCCTCGAGAAGAGCAAGTTTCTCTGGGCAGTGGTTCTGATTGACATTGTTTTAGGTGACAAGGACAATGGCGAGTCTGAAGCCCATAAACAGACTCTAAACTGCAGGGCGAGGGGTGCTGGAGCAGGAGCAGGAACTAGGGCCAGCGGCAGCCACCCTGCCCCACAGCATGAGGCCCTCATAGTGCGAGGCCCCGGGCCGGGGCAGAGGCTCCCACCCGCTGGCAGCCAGGCTCTGAGGTGCTGAGTGCCGCAGCTCCTGGGGTTGCCACCGGGCCCAGGTCCTCGCTCCAGCTCCATGGGCCCAATGGCCTGGGTGGCAGGACTGAGAGCACGTTCAGCCTGGATGCTGTGGCCACTGTGGGACTGCCACTGCTGCCAAAAGCGTCAACATTCTGAAAGGCGCCCCTGTGTGGGGCTTAGTCCTCCACAGGGCACTCGGGGGCTTGCCGTGGGCACATGGAAGGGATGCCAGCCCCAAGCCCACATCACAGCTTCCCCCAGCCCCACCCTCATTAGTGGGAGGGGGACGGGCACAGGCCACACACCCCAGAAGAGAGTCAGGTCTCAGTGCACACCAGCCCTATCCTGTACTGTGTGCAGAGACTGCGGGGTGTGAGCCCGCTTCCCTGGGGCACACTCTGGCACCCCCATTTATACTTCTCCCTGGATTTCACCCTGGGTCCGGCTCACTTAACAACGGCCCGAGGCAGCCCCGAAATGAACAGCAGCTGCTCCTGGCCTCCAGGTGACGAGACTTCACGGAAGACTCCAGACACCAGCTGTCACTGGAGGCCTCTTGTGGGTGATCCCGAGAGGCCCCACGACCCCTCCCGCCTGGCCCGGGGACAGGCGAGGGCCCACCTGGATGATGTAGACCTCCTCTCTTGCGTTGTACCAGATCTCGAACTTCCTCGCGTCGCCCTTCACGTTCTCCGTGATGCCCACGGCAGTCATCTGGCAAGCACAGAGCCGGGAGCCGGTGTCAACGCGCACACGCCACCGCCTCCTCATTTAAAAAGACGCTGCGTTCTTGGGGCGGGGGCCGAGGCTGGCGGGCCCCCCCGACCGATGCAGCCCGTGGATGCAGCGGGGCCGCGTGGCGGGTGCTCCTGCCTCCCGCCGACCGAGCCTCACTTACGTTCAGGGACTGCTTGTAGCTATAGGACGGCGCCTTCTCGTACCCCTCCCCGTTCTCCTCCCTTTTCTTGCAGAAGAGCACGGCCTTCTCGTGCAGGAACAGGTGCCGCTGCATGGGCTTGAACCTGGCCAGCTCCTTCACCTTGGTGTGGCCCTTCTTGTGGTCCGTCCAGACGCTGAAGGAGCCCTGCATCAGCAGCTTTCCCAGGTCGCCGAGGTTCCCCTGCAACGCAGGACAGCGCGGGCGTGCATCCTCCACGGGTGACGTGCAGCGCCCCCGCTGAGGGAAAAGCCCTGGGAAAGGCCATGTGCTGCCTGCTTCCAGCTATAGGACGTTCTGGAAAAGGCAGAGCCACGCAGACAGTGAAAGATCGGGGCTGGGGGGTGGCAGGGACGGGCAGGATACTGTAATGTGGATGCAGTCACTGTTCAAAACCACAGAACGCGCAGCACCCAGGGCAAACCCACGTAAACTGTGCACCCAAGTTAACAGGACCGTGTCGCTGTCGGCTCATCAGTTGTAGCAGGACCACAGGCGCACGGGATGTTAGTAATGGGGCGGGGGAGGCACACGTGGAACTCTGCTTCACACTCAATTTTTTTTATAAATCTACAACTGCTAAAAGAAGTCGCCTGTTAATCGAAAAAAAAACCGAGGATGGGTGCGGAATGGTTGGACAGAGAAGCAGAAAAATTAATAAGTTCACCTGCCAGGGGCCTACAAGGGAGAAGGTAGAAACCTGTCTTTTACAGTCACTGTCTAAGTCACCAGCCCACAAACCACATCACAGAAAACAGACGGCCACAACTGTCCTCCACGATCCTCGAGAGCAGGGGCGGGCAGGGAGTGCAGAAGTCTGGACTGCACCCCTGCTGGGGGCACCGAGCCCTCCAGGGGCACACCTGGTTTCCTCCATAGCCACAAGCCCCGCCTGGGCTGCAGACTCAGTGACCCAGAACCTGGGCTTTCACCGGGTCCCAGTGATGGATCCACAGCAGAGCTCTGGCAGCCCTGCAGCGTGTTTGGGGCCTCCCCCACCTGCCCGTTAGACCCCCCGTGGAGCCAGCTAGGTAGCATATTGTGCAAGACTAAGACAGGAGAACGGCTGGCGGCGCTGGTGCCCAGCACTTACATCGTAGCCTGTGATGGCGATGAGGTGCATGGAGTCGTTCACGGCCTTCAGGATGCCCAGGATGGAGCTCAGTGCCTCCTGCAGGTCCTCGGCGCCTGTGCAGTTCTTGCTGTACTTGAGCATTTCCTGGGGGCGGGGGGCATGGGCGACACAGGACCCACTTACACACGAACATCCCTCCCACACCCTTTGAGAACGGCCAGCTCTTTCCCAGAAACGCAGACCTGAGCAGGCCCCAAGGACAGACCCTGCGGAGGCTAGGCAGCTCCTCGCATGGCTGTCACAGGCCCAGAGGAAAGGACACCAGCAGGCACGCGCCACGCACTCCCCCGCTGGTCCCGGGAAGCCCACACCTGATGCCCTGGGGCCTCACCTTGAGCAGCAGCTGGTACTTGGTTATTCTCTGCACAGGCTTCAGCAGGTAGGAGTCCAGACTCAGCTTGTGGTCCAGCTTCTTCTGGCATTCCTGGAACCAATCGCAAAGCCTTCGCTGTAGACGATTTTCACTAGCCTTCATTTAAGAGTCAGCTAGTAAAGGAAATTGTGTCTGCAGAAGGGCCCAGAGCATACCTGGAAAAACGGACAGTCGGAACACTGCCTCCACAGGCTCTCAGACCGGGGCTTGTTCTGGCAGTACTTCTCGTAGATCTGGAAATCCTCCATCTGCACCCAGGAGGGAAAGACACCGCGGTATGATCACCTCCCTGGTGACACGCGGCTTCTGTCCTTATCTCATGGCCCTGAGGGCTGTGCCCACTCCCCAGCTCCTCCAGGAAGGCCTGATTTTATGAACAAAGACCTCGCGGTCCACGCACCATCCCTGCCAAGCTTGCCAGAACACAGGTGTGGAGCTGTGATGGCTTCTCTCAAAGGTGGTTTATAGGGTCATCTCTTCATTTGTTTGTTTAATTGAACTTCCAGGGTTTTCTCTGGCAGTTTTGCAAATTACACAAGTTATTTTGTAAAAAAAAAAGACCGAGCCCAGTGTGAAATGCAGTTGCACCAGAAGTTCACTTCTCAGGGCTTAAGCCTAATCCCTCTATCATTGTTAAAAATTCAGCTCAATATAGCTGGCTTTTTGTCATTGGAATAACAGGCTGATAATAACATATGCAGAACCAATTCACACTTTCTACTTTCTAAGAAAGAATTTCCAGAGCTTTACCTACAGCAGTGGTGCCCAAATTTCAGCAAGCTTCAGATCACTGGCGGGCTCCTCCCAACACAGATCGCCCCTCGCCAGAGGCTCTGACCCGGCTGATGCTGGCCGGGGAGCCTCACTTTGAGAACCACTGGCCCACGGAAGGATTCGCCCGCCCCAGTTCTCAGATAGCACTGAGACGAAACGTGCGTTTCCCTCTTTCTTCCTGCTGCCTTTTGGCTGAAGAGTCCCAGCCTCCAGTTCTTTAATTCCACTGCTGTTTGTTAGCTACCATCCCCGTATTGCTAAGCCAGCAACACGGCCCGTGCGCCCCAAGCTTTTCCACAACCCCTCGCTCTGGCTGACGGTTCCACCGCCCTGTGGAGGAGGCAGGTGGGTGCTTTCTTAAAGAGGAGAAAAGGGAGGCTCTGAGAGCTGGAGTGACCTGTCCAGTGCCATCCAGTACGTGCGGGAGACTGGGCAGGACAAGCCCAGACACAAGCTGAACCACACACCGCTGCGAAAGGCTCGCACTCACCACTTGCTGCGAAAGGCTCGCACACACCACTGGGGCACTGTGTCACTGCAGCGTGCCTCAAAGCTTGGGTTTCATAGTTTTTCTCTTTTTCGAACCAGTTACTGGGATTAAAAAATTCTATTCTTTTGTCTGTACTGAAAAATATCACATCATTTCAGCCAGACTGGGGACACTGGTGCTCTGTAGTTCCAGTTGGTTAGAATGAGAACTTGCTGGAGAGTTGAAAGTCATTATTATTCAGTAATTTTAAGAAGTAAGTCGTGACGAAGTATACATTCAAAGAAAGACATACCCTCTCTAGAAAGCACCTTCCGACCAGCTCTGGGCAGTCTATGTAGCTTTCGAGCTCCCTCAGGAAGATCCTAGACAGAGAAGGTTTTCATTAAGTCGTAGGAAGAAACACCGGAATCAGACGACACCCATAACAAAGCAGCAGGTTATTTGTTTGAAGACTCCTTTGCTTTGCTCTGGACAATTCAAGTGAGTGCGTGGTGACAGGGGTCCCTGGGTCCCCGCACTGCTTCTGAAGGCCGCGGGCAGGGACGGCTCTGGAGGCCCCGCACCACGGCTGGCTGTGGCTCCCTGGCTTTTCTGCAAACTGATGTAGGTCCCCACGCAGCAGCGTCCCCAGGCTACTGAGCGGCTTCGCCTCTGAACTCCTGACTCGTACTTGTCCCCTGGGGGGCCTGAGCAAGGACGGGGCGAGACCCCACGGGGCACCAGGAGGGTGCTGAGGGTCTTTGCACTCCCAAGGTCCTGTGCAACCTTGCGGAAGGGAAGGCGCCGGCAGACCTGCGCCTCCTGTGTAAACAGCGGGTGGGGGACGCTAATGTCAGGGTGAGACACAGTGCCCAGGTCCCCCATCCCCACGGGCGCTGTGCACTGGTCCACACAAGCCTGGCTTCTTCTCAGGACACACAGGTGTGTGCCGCCTGCCTAAGGGAACTTTCACAGGCCTGCGGGTTCCTCGCAGAGCTCCACAGACCGTCTCAAAGATGGCAACAAAACAGTGAAGCAGGGCCTTGGAGGAGCCACCTCAGCCCACCAGCCTGCACGTCTCTCTCAAGAAAAATGAGACCCTCACGCTCAGCAAGGAGAGCGGTGAGGACAGGGCGTCAGCCCTGCCACCCTTTTCAGGAACAGGCTTGGGAACAAAACAGGCCTGGCTAAGTGCAGTGGCCTCCAGACATCTGGCTTCCACTTGCCCGGCCAGATGAGAAGGGGGACATGAAGGCAGGGCTGCTCCGATCTCTTCACACCACAGAGCAGGTGACATGGGGACTTGGGGTCTGTCCTCACAGCAGGGGCTCATCTATAATCCAGCTCCTGGCACTAGTCACAGGGCAAGGTGCCTCGAGGCGCTCGGAGATGCCCTGGGCATGCAGTGGGTGCCCAAGCCTGTGTGTTCACCCCGAGAGGCTCTCCCGGTCCCAGCCCCTGCAGGCAGCTCCGCAGGAGTGAGAGACGGGTGAGAACGCCAGCCGGTTAGGACCCACCTGTTATGAAAGTGATAGATCTCCTCCATATTTCCAAATAAGATGTCCTTCTTGTGCTGAAGGCCCGTGGAAATGAGATGCGCCATCAGTGGGTTCTCCATCTCCGCAGCGTAGCCCTGCAGAGAGGGGCAAGGTCAGCGAGGACGCCCTGCCTGGTGGCCGCCCTGGCTTTGAAAGGCGGATCCACTCACATTTATCCACTGGACCCGCATGCACTGAATAGAGTGAGTTGCGAACACTGTCAGTGGGGTGGGGGCTCCGTCCTGTTCCCTTTCTAACCTTTTCCTATTCAGGCACAGGTGACATGCGCGGCACAGATCCTGTGTGCACACCGCGGTGAATCAAACGTGTAACCAACACCCGCATCAAGACATGGAGTGACTCAGAAGGCCCCCGTGCCCCTCCCAGGCAATGACTCACCTGAAGGTACCCCCATCCTGACCTCCCACCCACGACCGGTTCTGCTTGTTCTGGAACTTTCCACACACAGAAGCGTGTGCGTTCGCGGGTCATTATGCCTGTGAGGCTGGAACCTCTTTGGCAATCAGCTGCACTTCCTGGTTGCTGCGAATGTCTGTCCCTGTGCAGAGCCACTAAGCACTCTGTCCCCTGTGCTACTGGGGACGTCAGGACTGCTCCCAGCATGGGGCTGCTATGGGCAAAGCTGCTACGAATGTTCTTTCACACACTTTTCGGTGGACACAAACACCTGTGTCCAAGTGGCAGTTTTAAAATGAAGCTGCATGGGGTGCGGGTGAGCCCCACAGATGCCCACCCCGCCCGCGTCCAGCCTCACCTCCAGGACACACAGCAGCTCCTCCACGAATGTTCTTTCACACACTTTTCGGTGGACACAAACACCTGTGTCCAAGTGGCAGTTTTAAAACGAAGCTGCATGGGGTGCGGGTGAGCCCCACAGATGCCCACCCCGCCCGCGTCCAGCCTCACCTCCAGGACACACAGCAGCTCCTCCACATAGGCCCGCTCCGTGTCCAGGAGCTCGTTCATCACATGCCTGCAAGTGGTGCACACGGAGAGCAATGACACGTCAGGGCCGGAGGGACTCAGCACCGTCTCATTTGTGGGCAGAGAAGCTGCGAGTGGCCCACGCAGCACGAGGGGAAGACAAGTCCAAGGCTGGGTGTCCTCCGGGCCCACTTCCCCGACCCCAGGCACCCGCAGACTGTGACCAGCTCACCTCCCCTGTGACCAGGCCGGCATCCGAGGCCTGCCCGGAGTGGATTCCCTGACCCACCTCCCATCTGCGCAAACTTGGCCCCATCCCTCAGCACGGTGCGAGTCAGCCGTCCCCTTCGGATTGGTCCCGCTTCCTTGATGAGCCACCTGAGTCTCTTCCACCAGGAAGACCCCCTGACACCCCATCCCGTGCCTCCCCAGAGCCTTCCTCTGCTCCCCAGCCACGGTCCAGGCCTCACTTCAGCTGCCCGCTGCCTGTGCCCGCTCCCTTGCACAGAGCAGGTGTGCAGCAACGACCTGCGGAGGTACCCGTCCCGGCACGTGGTGGCGTCCCAGAAGGCGGAGGGCTTGCACATCAGCTGCTCAGATCTGCTTCATAGAAGAGGACCCCTTTTCATGGCCTACAATCACCCTGCCTATTTTAATACACAAAACCAATACAGAAAACCAAGGGGATTGCTCTGGGTGGAGATTACTGAGCAGGGTCGATTCTAAACAACTGCCAGCACCTGAAGAGCCTTGGGCATGCAGCTCAGAGTGCCCACGCTCCTGCCTTTGAACAAGGAGGCAGGGGAGGAAAGGGGCCGGGGACCCCCTCACATCTCGAGTTGAACCGTGTGAGGCGTCTGCTGCCCCGCAGTCCTCAGGGCTATGCTTGCTGCCCCCTGCATCCGGAAGCTTCTTGACAGCGCACTCTTCCCCCTTCTGTTTTGATACATTCCATTAGGAGCCAGAGGCGACAGGACCTGACCTCATCCCTGACCTCAGCTTATTCTAATTGCAGATTTTGCTCTTTCCTCGGAAGCTGCCGGAGAGACGTGGCCGTGCTCGCTGGGGACACAGAGCGCAAGCTGCCTGGCACACCTGCTGGCTAGCGTGCGCGGGGAAGCCCGTCCTCCAGTCTTAACCTCGGAGTTAGGACGATCACAGGGGAAGGAGGGGGCCGAGCACGAGGCATCCGGTGGAAACATCAGAAGCAGAGACGGTCCTGAGGGCGACGCCCAGGCGGCTGGCTGTGCACGTGCATCAGTGCTCACGTCGCTGTCCTGAGGGTGCTGCCTCCCTGCGCCTCGGGGCATTCTACACCTCCCAGCCCCGGGCCAGTCCGGTCCGTCCTCTCAGAGGTGGAGAAGGGAGAGGAGCTGCTGTTGTCCACCGACTCTGCACTGCCCAGACCAGGGCGGGGGGTCACAGGGCTCCAGAACCGCGCCGTCCGCCACCGCGGCCACAGCCGCGCCCAGGCATTCAAATAAAACATTCAGTGGCTGAGTTGTGCGGGCCACATTTCTCATGCCCAGTAGCCACCGGTGGCCGGTGGCGGCTGCAGCAGACGGTGCTTCCTGTTAGTGACGGTGGCACACGGAGAACTGTGTTGGCAGCTGGAGACACTGTCCCTTGCGGCTCCCCTCAGTCATTCCCCTCCCTGCACTCCAAGACTGACCCGGCCGTGTTTATCAAGCTGTTGTGTGCTGGGTGCTGCGGGGACCAGGACGATGAACTAAACCACGTGTGTGTGACCTCGAGGTGTCTGTGCCCTGCAGTCCCACGCCATAGTTCTGGTGGCCAAATGTCCAGGACCACCATGCAGCTCATCTGTCTCCATAAGGGGGTGGGTGAGGTGCATGCCACCACCTGGCACAGAGCACGATGCGAAAACGAGGTGGAGGATGTCGTCAGTGAAGGCTTCAGGCACAGGAACTGAGCTGACGTCAAGGGACGGCGTGATCTCAATGGGGCGCATCTGAGCACAGGTCTCAGGTGTGTAAAGGCAAGAAGGCAGCGATGTGCAGGTGTGTTCAACGTGTAGGCACATGTGTGAGGCGGGGAGCGGCCCAGCTCCCTACGGGGAGAGCGGCGGCGCCCAGGAGGGCCATCGGAAGGGGGGCCCCATCAAGCCCAGAGTTTCTGTGCCCACCGCTCCCGGGAAGGAGCGGGTTGTGCGAGACGCCCTGGGCAGGTGTGAGGGGTCACGGAAACAGCTCAGGTGTGTGGGAAGAGACCCCCACCAGGTGGGTGGGCAGAGAGGGGGGCGGGTGGAGAGGAGGATCGTGAGAGATTATGCAATCGCCAGGGGAGGGTCCACAAAGGCTGCAGGGACCCTCTCGAGGGACGAGAGGGCGGAGTCCAGCAAGGACTGGCCCTGACTGTGCCGATCCCAGGGCTGGAGGGTGTGAGCCTGGGGTCTCCGAGTTCTGTGTCACTCCAGGGGCTTCTCGCCCTGGGGCTTGGGACAGGGAGAACGGGGCCATTTGAAATCACCCAAGCCCCCTCCTGAGCACTCAGGGACAAAATGAGACTTTTCTAAGGAAAAGCTGATTTTCTCTTCATTTCAGAAACGGTGATTCCGAACAGATGTGCACATTCTGTTTTCGCACATCCCACAATACACACACGTGTGTCCGCTCCGCGGACCCCAGGACACCAGCTCCTTTCCCGCCTTGGGTGTTGGAGTGGACGCCATCTACCCGCATCCAGACACCCGCAGCCACAGGCTGGGGTCTGGGTGGGTCCCCTGGCGCATCCGAGCGCAGAGCCGCTCGCGTACGCCATCTACCCGCATCCAGACCCCCGCAGCCACAGGCTGGGGTCTGGGTGGGTCCCCTGGCGCATCCGAGCGCAGAGCCGCTCGCGTGGCGGGAAGAGCAGCCCACTCACCTGCGCAGGACGGCCAGGCTCTCCTCCTCGTCCCCCGTGGAGCTGCTCCGGCCCTGCCGGTTCTCACTCATCTCACTCTGGGGAGGGGAGAGTGGAGCGTCACGTGTGATGGGAAGGAGTGGCCTCCAGGACTGCCCTCAAGGCCCAGAGCCTGACCCTGCTCCCGCCGGGGACAGGTGTGCGGCCCCACCGGGCTGCAGGCCGGGAACGGCCAGGGCGGGCATGCAGGGTCCTCACCTTGGCCCTCCTGTAGGGGCCTCTCCGGAGCGCGCTGCCCTCGGCGCTGGGGTTCTCAGACCCTCGCCGGACGCCTGGTGTGGAAGAAGCAGAGAAGGAGGCGTTCGCTGCGCATCTCAGAGCCGGAGAGAGACGTGCACCCACAGTGCGCTGTGTTCCGCTCAGAGCAAGAAGCACGGGCCCGGGAGGAGGGAGGACAGCATGGAGGGAACGAAGCGGGGACACGGGGACACGGGGCGAGGGGCGGGGAAGGGCGGGGTGCCGCCTGCGGGCTCCGATGTGGGGGCCACAGCACATTCCCACAGGGGCGCGGCTCCATGGCCACAGAGGATGACCCACGGGACGGCCGGCGCCCAGCTCGCGGGGCCCCCGGGGATTTAGGACCCGCAGCCGCCAAGTCCTGCAGCAGATAGCAGGAGACGCTCCCAAGCCCACTCACCTCGTGGTTTCCTGTGAGAAAACCCAGCGAGGGTGGGAAAGAAGGTGGGTTTTGAGACAGGGAGGGGACAGGACAGGGTCCCCGAGAAACGGCACAGCCCTGGCATGGCCTTGGCGAAGGGCTGGTTTGGGGAGAGTCCAGGAAGGCTCTGGGGCAGGTCTGGGGTGCGTGAAGAAGGCTGTTCTGCAACAGCATTGAGCATGGGCTGGGGGTGACTGGAGTCAGGGGAAACCAGAAGTAAGTTCCTCAATGGTGAGCCAAAATTTCCAGTTTTGTGGGCCACACAGGCTTGGCTGAAACTCCTCGGCTCTGCTGTCACGCACAAAAGCAGCTCAGACAAGACCCAAGTGAGCAAGCACGGCTGTGCCCTGACAAACGTTATTACAAGAATAGAGGGAGGCCCTGAACTGGCCAGGGCCCATGTGGCAGGCAGGAGAGGCCGTGGCAGGAGAGACCCCACGTGTGGCTCCCTCACAAGCACCAAGCTCCCGAGGCCAGGGCCCCGGGTGGCCACGCGTACCTGGGGAGGGGCAAGGTGACTTTGTGAGTGCCTCCGGCCTGGGGGCCACCGGCTGCACAGGCCGCGTCTGCTTGGCGGCCAGCTTCTTCAGGCTGGCCTGTCTGCGGTGAAACATCTCCTCCATGCTCTCCTGCTTCTGAAAGACCTTCTGCACGTGTTCCTGAAAGGACAGCGCGAGTGAGACGTCACACAAGTGTCTGTTAGTCACCTGAAGCAGCACAGTCCTGCACAGGGTGCACTGTGCCACACACAACCTCTGTTTTCAATGCTCATGACACTGTCTGTCGATACTGCGCGGCTCTGCGCCCGGCTCTGGTTGCCATGGATGGGGAGGGGTCTGAAGCCCACCCAGGAACGAGGGGTGGTGGGCCTGGAGATAGGTCAGCTTGATGCACGGAGCTGGTCACCTTCTCCAGATAACTGGAGGGCCACCAGGGTGGAAGTAGGGTGGCTAGCGTGGAGCTGGAAGGAGCCCAGTTTCCATGACCAGGTGCTGTGGCGTAACCAGGGCCCAAGACACGGCATCGAGAAGAGCGCGCCCCACCGCAGGGAGTGTTCGGTGGAGGCCGGTGGCCACCTTGCAAGGGGGGCCTGAGATAATCTCTGTACTGGAAGCAAGGCTGCGCTCGGTCACCTCTCAACTCCACATTTCTCTAAAACGCCATTAGCTACTCGTAAATAATTCTTTCAAACATAGCGCAAAGTAATCCCTGCCACCGGGCACAGCAGATGCAGATGGAGAGCCAGGGTCAGCATTACCATGAGGTCCTGGTTCATGATGGATTCATATTCCTTGTAAATTTTACTGAGCTCCTGGATCTTATTTTCTGCACCGGTCTCCAAAAACCTCTCGATTTCCTGGAGGGCCGCCTCCGCGCCGTCCTGGGACTGGCATTTGTCCACGGGCTGCGAGGCCAGCAGGTAGATCCCTGCATCACACCACTTCATGGACTGGAAATGCGGAGCACAGTAGAGGCAGGAAGGACACCGTTAGAAGCTGCACGTTGCGCATCTTTTCTAAGCCTACGCTGCCGCAATGTCCTGTTTACTGTCTAATGAGTGATCTGTTGACTGTTATATTGTGGGGACTATCTAAAGCGCTGGGACATCACACTTCTGCCCCTGTGTCCAAAGGAACACAGAGCTCTCCAGTGCCAAGTACGCCCTGGGATGCGACTCGGCTCAGACAGAGGAGAGGCTGGGAACATGCAGTGGAATTAACTAGGGTGTAAGATTTGGGTCCTCTTAGAGGAATTACTGTGGCAAGTGAGTCCTAGAAAACAGACGATTCTACCAGGATGTAACACTCTAGCCCATAAGAAAGAGGAATTCAGAAAGTAGGCGTGAGGCCACTTTTCCATCCACGAATCTGATTCACCCCAGTGACGAGGGTCACGGGTCATGGGCGTGGCCGGGGGCTGGGTGGGCAGCGATCCTGGCAGGCCTACCGTCTCCAAGAGGCCGTGCAGCTCCAGGGACTTGCTGAGCAGCCCCCTCCTCCTGCCGACCTCAGCCGCGAACTGGTCGCAGAGGTGCCGCAGCTCCTCGCACTTGGGGAGGATGGAGTCCACGGCGTAGTGCTTGCTGTCGATGAGCTGCTCGCCTTCCTGTGACAGGGCGCAGGCCCTCTGCACGGCTGCCTGCGGGACACAGCCACCCCCGGGACACCGTCAGGCTCACCTTTCCTTGTTTCCGGCGACGGTCGACTGAAATGCCACCTAATCCCTGATGCTATTTCGGGGCAAACGCTTCTGGAGGCTGGGATGTGCAAACAGAAGCATTGCCTGTTTGCAGTGACCCGACCCCAAAGAAGCATCATTTTTTGAAAATCGAAGGATGACGGGATTTATGACAAGGAGCTGCTGCCCACGCCTGCCTCTGTTGGGGCGGCTGCCATAGGGTGGGCAGAGCAGTGGCCCGTCCACCCTGCTGGGGACATCCCTGGGGGGCTGGGACTTCTGCTGCGACTGCCTGAATGCCGCCTCCTGCCCACACCAATCCACATCCTTGTCCTTACATTGGATTTCTCCTCAAAGGTGGCGAGGTCCCTCAGCAGGTGCTCCGCATGCGCCAGGCTGTTGCCCACGTCCGTGAAGGTCGCTATCTTCTGGGAGACCGTGTCCAAGGCAGCTTTGACCTGGAACAGAGGAGAGCCCATCTCAGAACGCCACCCCCGAAGGAGAGGAGGCGCACCAGAGTGGTGCAGGGAGGGGGAAGCCCAGGCAGGAGGGCGAGGAAATGCAGGCAGCCAGGCGCTGAGCCAGGGCCGTCTCCAGCGGAGCGGGGACAGTGCTGGCCCCACATGGCCCGGCCAGCTGGGCACTCGCTTCTCTGGCCTCAGCTCATCCACAGCAGCACGGGACATGTGGATGCTGAAAAGACAGTGGCTGTCACTCCTGCTGCATCTCTGCAGTGGCCAGGAGAGCCCCGCAGCTCATATTCCAGCTGGCTCTCACTTCTAGCATCTACTGTTACTGGCATTGGCAGGAAGACAAAGGGTTTCATATAAGTGACTTTAAAAATAAGTAACAGCTAATCCCTCTACGTAAAAAGGCATTTGATTTTTGTTATTACAAATCATCTTGATAATGAGCATGTACACAAGCATCCCAATGCCTCCTGGGGTCATGGCTCAGACACCTGCAATCGAGGGCAGGAGGGCGACCCTTGCCCATCCTGGAGGTAGCTGACATGCAAGGCTGGTCCCTCTGCACACTGCCCATGACCAGTCCAGACATGTGGACGCACAACCACCTCTAGAAAGGGTTTCTGGGAACCCACCTTGGGAACACCTCCACCTCTCTATCCCAACATGCTGCCTTATTTTCCTCCTGGCACAGATGCACTGGTCACCTTGTCCAACTTTACTTTACCTCCTTGGGGTCTGCCCCCCAACCCCAACACCTCCACTAGAACAGAAGCTTCACAAGGACCAGGATTCATCTGTCCAGGGCCCAGACCAGCTCTGGTCCACAGCAGGCCACAGGAAAGGGCTGTGTAAGGGTGATGCTGAGGTCTGCCAACACCTGCAGCATGAGGGGAGGAGGATGTTTGAAAACCCCTTCTGGGCAGGGCACCCAGCCCCTGGGGCTCCCTGAGCCACATGCCAAGAGACAGAGCAGGAAGCTCACACGGATCACCTGGTTGTGCTTGCTGGGTCACTGGGGGGTAGAGGGAGAACATGAGAAAATTTGGGGCCCACATTCCTTGCAGATTAAACTTGGGATTTCTTCATTTGACCTCAGGCACTAGTGGAGCCGGCTTCGAGGATTTCTTAGCCACAGGCAGACATCTGAAGATGATGTTGAATTTTTCTCCCAAGTTGAGTCCTTATTAATTAAACTCAATGCCATCGGGAGGGGTCAGGTTCTTTTTGCAGATCTAAGCTCCACATAGCTAATAGACCTACCTTAACTGAATGACCAAAATAAGTTTTCTGAACAGAAAGGAAAGTTAAAGATAAAAGCAGTAGTCTTGGAATGTCAGTCTAGAAGAAAGGTCACAGAAAGTAAAAATGTGGGTAATACATGGGCTTCCCTTCTCCTTCTGAGTTTTTAAAATTGTGTTTCATAGTTGAAGCAAAATTATAACGCTGATGTGTTCAAAGACAATTTAAGACAATTATATTATAAAGGGAGGAGAGTAAATGAAGTATGAAAAACTTACTTCCCTTTGTACCCAATATTTTATGTACATTATGTATCAAAATATAAGGTAATTCTCAGAGCAACAACTAAAAAAGCTATACAATGAGATAAATCCAAAGACAACTATAGATAAATGAAAATAGAATTCTGAAAAATGTTCAAGTAACCACAGAAAGGCAGGAAAATAAAACAGAGAAAGGAAAAAACAGAACAAACATAAAATAAAATGGCAGACTTAAGCCCTAATGTAGCAATAATTACATTAAGTGTAAGTGGTCTAATACACCAATTAAAAGAGCATGGCAGAGTGGATTAAAAAACATGACCCAACATATGTTGTGTGCAAGAAACTCACCTCAAATATACACAGTATAGGAAGGATGAAGGTAAAAGGATGGGAAAATATATTATGTAAGCTTAATCAGAGGAAAGCAGGAGAGGCTGTATTAAATCAGGTGAGGTAGACTTTGGAGCAAAGAAAATTATCAGAGACAGGAAGGGCATTACATAACAATAAAAGAAAACACAGCAATGTGTATGCTCCAAACAACAGAGCTGCAAAACATATGAAGCAAAACCTGATAGAACTGAAAAGAGAAATAGACAAATTCATATTTATAATTGGAGGCTTCAACAACCCTCTCAACTGTAGACCAAATAGACAGAAACCAGCTACGATATAGAACTCAGTACCATCAGCCAACAGGATCCAACTGAAATTTATAGAACACTCTACCTAACATCGGCAGAATAAAAATTATTTTTAAGCACCTGAGGAACATATACCAAGAACATATGCTAAGAACATAACCTGGGCCATAAGAAACCTTAAAAATTGAAATCATACAGAGTATGTTTTGTAATCACAATTATCAAACTAGAAATCAAGAACAGAAAGATAAGAAAAATCTCTGAACACTTGGAAACCAAACAACATACTTCTAAATAGTCCCTGGGTCAAAGAAGAAGTTTCAAGGGAAATTTTAAAAAATTGAACTAAATGAAAATGAAAATACAGCAGATCAAAATTTGTGATACACAGCTAAGGCAGAGGTAAGAGGGAAATTTATAGCATGTCCATTAAATATGTACATTAGAAAAGAGGAATAGTCTCAAATAAATAATGTAATTATTTAGAACCTTGAAAAAGAAAAACTAAAATAAACCCAAAGTAATCACTAAAAATAAATAATAAAGAGCAAAGATTAGATTTAGATTGAATATAAAAACAATGGTGAAAACTGATGACACAAAGAGCTGGTTATCTGAAAAGATGGAGAGGGATAAATCTTTAGCAAGACAAACAGAGAAGACACAAATGACCTATATCATAAATGGAACAGGGAATATCACTGTAGACCCAGCAGGCCTCAAAAAGATCAAAAAGAATACTATAAACAGCTCCACACACATAAATCTTACAACTTCAGCGGAGTGGACCAGTTCCTAGAAAAACACGCACTACCACATCTCACGCAATGTGAAACAGATAATTTGAATAGCCTTATCATTGTTAAGAACACTGAATTCATAATTTTAGAAGTCCCTCCAAAAGAAATCCCCAGGCCCAGATGATTTTACTAGAGTATCTACAAAATGTCTAAAGAAGAATTAACACCAATTTATACAATCTCTTTCAGAAAACAGAAGAGTAGGAACATTCCCAATTCACTTTATGAAGCTGATATTGCCTGACACCAAAACCAAATAAAAAACAGTTAAAAAAAAAAAGAAAGAAAGAAAAAAGAAAACTACAGACCAATATCTCTCCATGAATATAGATGCAAAAACTCTTAATATGATATTATCAAATATAATTCAGCAATATATAAAAAGAATTACACACCATGACAAAGCGGGTTTTATTTCTGGGATGCAAGGCTGATTCAGTATTTGAAAGCTAATCAATATAATTCACCATATCCACAGATTAAAGTAGGAAAATTGCATACTTATTTCAATCAATCTGGAAAAAGCATAATTAAACATCTAATGTAATTTAAAAAACTCTCAGAAAAATAGGACTAGAGGGAAACTTTCTCAACTTCATAAAGAGCATCTACAAAAACCTACAACTAACATCACACCTGATGGCAAAACACTAAACGTTTTCCCTAAGATTGGGAACAAGGCAAGGATGTCCAGTCTCACCACTCTTGTTCAAGTTGTGGAAGCTCCAGACAGTGCAATAAGGAGGGATAAAATAAAAAAATAAAAATAAAAAAATAAAAGGCATACAGTCAAAAAGGAAGAAATCAAACCGTCCTTATTTGCACGTGACATGATTGTCTATGTAGAAAATCCCAAGGACTCTACAAAAAAACTCCCAGAACAAGTGTGTTCGGTAAGGTCGCAGGAGATAAGACGTACTCAAAAACCAATGGCATTTCTATATATAGCAATGGATACATGGACACCAAAATTAAAAATACAATACCACTTACAATTTCTTAAAAAATGAGATACTTAAATGTGAATCAAACAAAACACGTACTGAACTTGCACGACAAAAACTATGCAACACTGGGAGAAAACCTAAGAAAATCTACGTAAATGGTGAGCACAGCATGTCCCCTGACTGGAAGACCCAACATGGTAAAGAGGTGGATTCTCCACAAAACACGGGTTTCACACAATTCTTCTCAAAAAGCAAAATTTTTTGTAGATATAGACAAGATTATTTTCAAATTTATATGGAAAGGCAAAGGAACTGGAATAGCTGAGACAATTTTGAAAAAGAGGAATAAAGCAGGAGGAAGCAGTCGACTGATCTGGAGGCTTATCAGACAACAACGGTAACCAAGACCTTGCGGTGTGGACAGGGGAACAGACACACGGATCGACGGGAAAGAGTAGACAACCCCTGGAAATAGACCCACAAAGATATGCCCAGCTGAGTGTGACAACAGTGGGAAAGAAATCGGGTGGAGGAAAGACAGCCTTTCAACATATCATGCCAGAGCAACTGGGCATCCAGAGATAAAAAAAAGGAACCGCGATCTAATTCTCATGCCTTGTCCAAAAATTAACTAAAAATGCATCACGGATGTAAATGTAAAACTATAAAAATTTAGGAAAAAAAGCTCAGGGGAACATATCTAGGATCTAGGAGCAAAGGTCTGATCCTCAAAAGGAAAAACGATAAATGGGACTTCATCAAAATTAAAAACTTTCGCTCTGTGAAGATCCCTGTTAAGGAGGAAAAGACAAGCTACAGACTGGGGGAAAATACTCGCAAACCAGGCATCTGACAAAGGACTAATATCTGCAGTGTATAGAGAACCCTCAAACAAACTTAACAGTAACAAAGCCCACAAAACCAAACAATCCAGTTAGAAAGTGGGCAGGACACAACGAGGCTGCACCGAGGGCAGGTGAGCCCATCAGGGAAATGCAGAACAGAGCCACCGTGAGACGCCGTGCACACCGGTCCAGACGTGTGTATAGGATAAAAATAGTCCCAACTCCAAATGCTGTGGGACGTGGGCACGCGAGATCACTCAAACACTGCTGCGGGAATGTTAAATTCACAGCCACTCTGGAAACAGTCTGGTGCTTTCTTAAACAACTAAGTATGTAACTACTATGTGACCCTACGATCGCACTCTGACCATTAATCTCAGAGAAGTAAAAACTTAACTTCACCCAAAAATCTGCACATAAATATTTTTAATAGCTTGATCTGTAACAGCAAAAACCTGGAAGCGACCCAGATGACCTTCAGCAGGTGAAAAGTTACACTGTGGCACACCTGCACCACGGGATGCCGCTCGCTACAACAGCCTGGGCAAGTGTTCAGAGAACTATCTCAGTGAAAGGAGCCAATCCCAGAGGGTTAACTACTGCACGATCCCACGCACGTAACATTCTAGAAATGGCAAAAGCGCAGCAGAGAGAACAGGTCAGTGGTCGCTGAGACTGACGAGGGGCACGGGGAGGGCAAGCTGGTACCACTGGGGAAACCGGGTGAGGACACGGGATCTCTGTGCTGTTTCTCACGACTGCATATGAATCTACGATAATCTCTAAATACAAAGGTTAATTCAAAAATGTCCCCTCTCTGAAAAGCTTCTCTCAGTCCCCTCAGAAATAAGTTGCAAGTTACCACTCTCTCCACATGACTCTGCGCTGTGCTGTTCCCACCACAGCCACGTGGCCCCTTCGCACCGCTGAGGTGGGGCTTGACCTCTGGTCTGCAGCAGGGAGACTTGGTCACCTCGTGCTGACCAAGCACCGGGCCCACCTCAGGGTGCTCGGAGAATGCTGCTGAGCCAAAGTCTCCTTTTCCCAGGAGCACCGCCTCAGTGCTCCCTGGGGCACGGGGACAGGGAGCCGTGCTGAAAGCCTTGGTCTCCTGAGAACCGTTCCTGGGTGCTGCTTCCCTGGCGCTCACACGCTGTCTTGTGCCAATTTTGTTATCTTTGAACTTGACGATATTGCTTTTTCCCCATCTCGACTAGAGTTCTCCTGGAGACAGGAGAAGGGTTGCTCCACGGGGTGCATGTGGTCCAGCACAGGCCAGATCCACAGGAGGCCTCCGTCTACTCTGCAAGAAGAGGTGACAGGCTCCCGCGGAGCGGGCCTTCTCTACGATTTCATACAATGCGGGGGCTTCACTACTGATCAGTCCTTGTCATACTGAGCCCAAGGGGGGACTGTTGTCTTACTTGGTATGCCCGGGGCTCTGTGCCAGGCACACGATAAGGGCACGTTGAATAAAAGAGCATACAGATGAACACGAAGGACAGCAAAGCCTCCCTGACTAATTCACAAATAATGCAGAAGCACATACCAACGATCCGGTTTTAAATAACCTCTGTGTATAACGTGTTCCTCAAATCAGCTCAATCTCGCAGGCAGTGAGGCTCGAAGGTGATTCTGCATTAAGCGCGAGCCACCCGCAGAACCCAGCTCTCCATGTTGGGACTGAGCACGTATAGAGTAGGCGGCCAGCCACCCCAGCCCCTGCAGCCCGCGTGCCGGGTGCCCACCTTCAGGCCCGCTCCCTGCTCTGGCCACTCACCTCCCGGAAACCCTGCTCGAAATGCCGGAGCTGCAGACACTGTTCGAGTTTCTGCTGATGCTTCGACCAAAACTTATCGAAGGCGGCCTCGGTTTCGCTCAGCTGGGCCAGGAGCCTGGGGGGAGAGGTCGTGCGTGAACCGTGTGCGAGAGCCCGCTGCGGGCACTGACCCTGCAGTGCGAAGCCGGGCAGGGCACCAGCAGATGCCGGCTGGTGTCCACCACAAGCCCTGCCGAGACCCTGGCCTCCGATGGCCTCAGAATTCGCAGATGGGGGAGCGAGAGGCACTTCAGGCAGAATCATGGGCCTTGAGTTTCCCTTCCTGCGTCCCTTGCCCACCCACGTCACACTAGCCCAGCCAAGCTGGGCAGCATTTGCTAACTTTTAAAAGGCCAAGAGGCTAAAGGCTTGGGCTTATTATTCACAGCTTTGGTTCAGGGTGAAGGAAGCACCACACGCATGTGGGTGGTCTGTGGTCAGTGTTCTTTTTTTTTTTTTTCCCTTTTTGTCTTTTTTCGTGTCCGGCAACGGATCGCAACCCTCAGTGTCGCGCCTGCACCGGACCGGGACCTGCAACGGGATCGCAACCCTCGGTGTTGCGCCCACACCTCGCTCAGCCAGTGAGCGGGAGCCGGTCTG